TCAGGAATCTAGAGGCACCGCCTCAAGCTCCACAAGCAATCCAAGTTGCATCCAATGTCCAAACCAACCAACCAGCTTTGGCTACAACAAGACAAGTCCTGCCACAGCTAGCTCACAGAGTGTGCCAACAGTGACATCAGGAGTGGTATTGATAAAGTTGTACCCACCAAAACCAAAGTCTCAAACCTTTTTCAACCTTCCTTTGAATTCTACCGATCGATCTATCCAGATTGACACACCAGATCGACTGACAAGAAACGATCATGCCAGAGTCGAATGACACGAGGCGATCGAATCACAAGCAGCGACACGAGATCGATTCAGTTTGACTCTCGCGATCGACTCAGAAGATCCATCATGAGATTGCAAGTGCGACCACAGAAGCCTATCTAGGCAGAGCAAGCTTACTCCAGCAAGGGTAATCGAATCGATAGCACTCAAAGTGTCTATCAGTGCTTGGGTAAGCAGGCTCCTACCTTGGAAAGGCTTCGTAATCCAATCTCGCGTCGTCGTGTCGACTGGCTTGCAATGAGTCCAAAACAAACCTTGGAAGTAGTTGCTCGGTAGTAGTTGTGGATGCTCCAACTTGATGGGCTCCACTGGACCTGGACGTGTCACGGTCGATTATGGTTCGATGGTGATGTCGTCGGTAGATCCTTTGGTTGGTGATGCCACTGCTCTTACACTCCTGTGAGATGGCTGTGGCAGGACAAGTGTTGGTTCTGTCACTGCTCTTACACTCCTGTGAGCAGGCTGTGACTGAACTTGTAGTTGTCCGTAGTTGTATCTATGGTTGGCTTGATTTGTTGTACTGGTGTACTTCTGTTGGTGTGAGACGAGGTTGGTTGCAATCTCTGTACAGTAGTTGCAGTGGAGCTGAGGTGTGCACCCTCTTGTTGTTTCTTTTGATCAGGTTCCCGCTTGTGGGTCAAACTCTGTCTGCTCCAGCCATCCTGTGGCTTGGTTCCTTGTCTTGTGAACTCTTGAGTGGCTTGCTTGTAGCTAGCTACTCGGTTCAACGTTCACTGTCGTTCTGCTGTTGTTGCAGTTGCCGTTATTGTAGATGCAATTTGAATTTGGTTGGGTCGATTTCGTTGTAATCGGTTTGGTAGCGGTAGATACCGTTGTTGGCTGTTGTAGCCATTGATGTTGGCTGTTGTTGTAGTCATTGATGGTGGCTGTTGATGTAGCCATTGATGCCGTTGGTGGTTGCGGCATTGCCTTTAAAGGCGGATGTTATGATGATTTGGTTTGTAGGCTTGTAGGATTTGGGTACCCTCACACTCCTGTGCACTTGCTGTGATCAAATAGCAAGGGCATGGTCTTGTAATGGTATCTGTTGTTGCCTACCTAGAGGCTGTTGTTGCCTCAGGTTTGCCTGTAATCAGTGGAGGAAGTGCGGTGTTTCAGTTGCACAATACACTTTCCATGAAAGGTAGTAGGAGGTGCTGTGGCTTGGATGCCACAATACACACTCCATGAAAGGGGTAGGAGGTGCTGAGTGTAAAACTCAATACACTCTCCAAAGAAATTATTTCAACGCTGGCGGATGCACTCCTGTGCTTCCTGTAGCTTTGCACTGCTCCATTAGCTCTTGTGTGTAGCTTGCACTGGATGTGCTTCGCTCCGTAGTGGTAGCTAGCACTAGCTATTACCGGTAGCTAGCACTTGCTCCGGTAAAGGTACCGGTGCATGGCTGTTTGCTTGGATCTTCCACGGAAAATCCTCTTGTTGCGTTCCGTACAGAGAGATCTTGAGATTTGGCTCCGTGCGGGAAAGATACCTTTCGAAAGATACCTTTCGAAAGATACCTTTTTCTTGTGACGTTCAGCGACTTGTGGCTGTTCGCTGAACCTGCAGCTTGTTCTTTGCCGTTCCGTGGAACTGATTGCACTGTCAGCGATTTCCTCACAAAAAGCAATGGCTTCTTCTGTCGACAGCATGCATGCAGTTGCCGACACTCTTCTTCTTCTCGTTGGTACCGGTAGCGGTCGTTGTTCTTTTGTCTTGTTGCTTCAGTCGACACTTCTTCTTCTGGTCGATGCTGTTGCTGCTATCGGTATCAACGCGTTGGCGCTGTTGATACTACTGTCGCTGTTGTCGCTATCGGTATCAACGACCGATGGCTTCAACAGTAGCGGCAGCGACTTGCTAGTAGTGTTGGTAGTCGCCACCGTTCTTGTTGATGCTTGCAGTGGTCGCGTCGTACGGTCGCTTGTGAACCGGCTATTACTCTTGTTCTTGGCTGTTTGAATTGCAAAATTCGCAAATTCGCTCTTATCCAGCCTGTTGCCGATGGATGCAACTCGCTCTGAGGTCTGGTTCGAGTGCTTGCACTCCTGAGGGCCTGTCAGTGACAGTATAGTAGCCCACTTCTGTGTATGACAGTCCTTCCGTAGGACCTGTCGTTGTCGAGTAATCGGCCTGGTAATTTGGCTTGTTTCGTGCCGCAAAAAGGTTTGCACCTCTTCTTTGTCGGCACTGTTTCGATGGCTTGATAGTGAGGCTGGAGGAACTCCCGCAGAAGTACCTCTGTAGTATTCCTGTTGGAGTTTGTTATCCAGTTCCTCTTCCGTGGTAACACTTCTCCGTCGTGTCACTCCTGTAGGCTGTGCTTCGTACGGTTAGGTTCAGTACAGTATTAGCCTTGACTCCGAATCACACCGGAATCCTTTCGTTCTTGTTGGACTCGTCGGACTCGTCGTGGTAGCTAGCTAGATAGCTTGGCTGCCACTCCTGCACTGCGTGGTGCATACAGTTGAGTCTTCTTGTAGTTGGTTTTCGTAGCAACGTTGCATACGATGGCTGTTTTCGCAGCTCAAAGTCTTGGTGCTTCGCTCACTCCTGCGAGCTTGCTTCCGTCTTGAGTTCCTTGCTCCAACTTGATTGGATGTAATTCACTCAATTCCTGTTGGATTCACTTCGTTCAAGCAATAGAGTGGTGTAGTTAGTGATGTTCTTGCACGTGGTATGTTCGTATCCTCCTCGAGTTGACTGGAGGTCAATTAGTCGATCCTCCGTTGTAGTCATTCGGTGTGGTCACAGACTCAGGCACGATTCCGTGTTTCCTTTTCGCCTGTTAGGCTGTTGGGATAGCTCTCTCAGTGAGGCTAGAGCCCTTTTTGCCTGAACCTTGACTCGATGTTGGTTACCTTATAGCTTGAACTGTGTGGTTGATGTCGATATCACCATGTTCGAGATCTCGAATTCGAGATGAACTTCGAGAGGTAGATCTTCTTGGAAATAGTGTTGGTTACCTTATAGCTTGAACTGTGTGGTTGATGTCGATATCACCATGTTCGAGATCTCGAACTCGAGATGAACTTCGAGAGGTAGATCTTCTTGGAAATAGTGTTGGTTGCTAGTAACACTCTAGCTTAGTAAAGGTAAAATACTGTTTTACTGTTAAGCTATTTCCAAGAAGTGATCTTTCTCCATGTTTTCTGGGATTGATTCAACTTCAAAGGATATAGTGAAGGGGGTGACCATATAGATCAGTTAAACTCCCCATGTATGTAACTAGAGAATAGATATAGATATCCCCTATAACTAGATTGGGATAAACGACTAATTTGCATTGAGGTGTCTGTAATACAACCTCCAACAGTGACCATCAGAATTTCAAATAGGTCGGTAGCTGATCGCGAGATGTGACTGTTCTTGTTTGTGAGTGCATATCTTGTCTCAACGGGGTATTGATCTGCGATGTAGGATGGAAGGAACAGCAGAATCCGAGGTGAATTAGTATCACATCGGACCTTACAAGAGTCACAAACCATCGATTGCACAATGCACCAGCTTGGAGCCGTGTCCAAGTTGAAGATTGGGAACAACGTTTTGTTCTTGCTGTAATTGGTTCTGGTATTCTTCATGAAGCCATTACAAGGTGAGTTGGGACATGGTACGCAGCAACCCATCCTGGACCAATCGACAAGCAGGAATTTGGAGCCAACGATGGAATGGTAGAAGGGCTGAATATTGTCTTTGCAACTAGGGACCACCATTGTTATGCCATTGAAGAAAGTCTCAAACACAGAAGCGTCTTTGTTGATAAGAGGGATAATCACCTCAGCCAAAGCAATGACTGCAATTGGAGCGTTTTTGTTGTTGTGCTTTTCCTTAAAATCCACGTCGCTAACCAATTTTGTCACCTGTTCGCACAGCAGATTGGGTGTCACTTCAGCTTCTGTTTCTTCAACCGAATCTGTCATTTCCACTGCTGTGGCAGTAGTGGTCGGCATTGTTGGCTGTGAATTGGTTGCTGCTTGCTTGGGAGCGAAGAATGCCTCACCGTTTTCCTTGGTTGAGTGCCTCCAACTCCCCCTCTCTTCCTCAGTGAGAGGCGTATTGTACAGTTTTTCAAGTCTCTTCTCTTCCTGCACAGCAGCACTCGTCTCTTCTGACAAATTGCCCTTCCCTTTTGTCTTGGTGTTCAAAATACAGAGTTCGTGGTGTACTCTTTTGGGAATTCGAGTGCCTGGCAGAAACTTCTTCAATTCACGAGCCCTGCAAACAACACAATCTCGCAGTGCATCAAATGCCGCTTCTCGAAAGAGAGTTATCTGGTCACCTTTCTTTGGCTTTCGCTTCTTCTTCTTCTTGGGATTGTTTCGTGCAGCTAGATGATGGGCTCTTTTTTTCTGCGAATTTCGCTGTTGACTCTGTCGCCCCATGGCTCCATTATGAGCAGCGAATGGCCTGGGCTTTGCATAGGGATTCACCACAGGGAATATTCCCACCATCTTGAAGTCTTCTTGGATACTCTCTACTGCTGTTGACTATGTCTTGGTCTATGATTGACTGGTCGGCATCATTGTGGCAATGCTTGTGCGAGATGGAATCCGACATTGTCAGTTATTCTTCGCGCCAAATGGGAAAAAGGTAGCACAGTGGTACGTAAAAGGATCCACTTCGTGGCTAAGTAATTCGATGTCTTACTTGTGTCTTACTTGAGTTAACGGTACTCCTCCACCAATCATATACCTGCCTTCTGCCCCAGAAAATCGTCTGTAGAGAAAGACAGAAGACAGCGTGGGCCCATGACAAAGAAAGAAGTCCGGGTCCAAATAATGTGTGCTGGTTTGTGTGCTTTTTCGGTCATTTCAGTGTTCCTTCTTTTTGGATTTCGGTACCATACGGTCTGGTACCATACGTGTACTGGTACCGGTACGTCCCCGCTCCTGTCATCCAAGCAAGTCTGACATGCAACCGCAGAGACGGGACCACTATTGATAGATCCTTCTTTCCACAGGTCCAGGTACTGGTACAACTAGAGGATGGAACCCCAACGCTAGAGGGTCAAGCGTAGCGTTTAAACGCTAATAACAGGTCCCCATAGCGTGTGTTATTATGCGTTTTTAGCGTTTTTATGACTATGATCTCAGCGTTTTTGTTTGCGTTTTTTTGGCGTTTTTGTTGGCGTTTTTGCAGGATTGGTGCACTACAAATAGAGTGTTACCAAAGTAACCACCAGTACCACCATCCAGATTGTTCATCCTTACGTGATTGTAAGTGGAATCTGCATAGAGTAACACTGAAAACAGAGAAAAACGCCAAACAAAACGCCAAAACGCTGTTTTAAATGTATGTGTATACACAAACACGCAAATAAACGTACAACCCAACTCGACGTTTTCTGTCTCCACGTAGAGTCTATGGCTGTTGCTAAATTGGCCCCCACTCTACAATGCTAGTCTCTGTCCTGTGGCAGCCCATGGGAATGCACGCTGATTTGAAGAGTCAGGAAAGATTGATCTAAGCAAATGTTGTCATTGCTTGCACTCGTTCTTCCCACTGATGAGCGATCAGGATGGCAAGTGCATTGCTTGTAATGAGGATGCAGTTACTTCTACCAGCAAGCCCTAGTAGCAAGCTAGCTACTTCACTGTGTAGTGGTGCTTCAAGGCAAAATCTTGATTGGGTATACGTAGGCCGGGGCACACCTTCGTGTACGATGTACCTCTCATCAACAAAAGTTGACTTGATCCTTGCGTTATTGCTTTTGGAGGCGTCAAGTTTCAACGCGGATAAAATAAATCAAATCGAATCGAATCGAATCGAATCATCCCAGTAGCCAGCAGCAAGTGCCGCTAATAAACGGTAGATGTACAGTGCACCTTCTCGAGTCAATTACTCAGAGTACTGGTGACCTGCAGCTGGAAGCCCAACCGAAAGAGCTGCTGAAAGCACGACAGCCAAGGCCAACAACGAACAACCAAGAGGTCCAAAGAATTGGTCGCACTTGTAGTTTTACTGCAAGCCACCGCCTTCACAGGCAGTTCACGGCCATAACTCACTTGACTATTAAAAACGCCAATAACAAGGAATGCATCTTGCTTCTGCAGTCTTTCCCTTAAACCTTAGCTTGTTTGGCAACCAAGACACAGAAATATGCAAATTGCTCCAACAAGCTTGTGCCGGCACTGCAGGGGCCTCCACTTCCGCGTTTTGAGAAGTCATTGCTTCACGTCCAGTTGCTTTTCGAAGAAGGCTTGTTCCACCGAGCACCGAGAAGGCCCCGAAGGGGCGAGAAGGAGGAGCTCGAGAGATATAATTAGCTCGAGAAGGCACCACGACTGTACTGTATCCTGTACGGTACCGTATCCTTTCGAGAGTGCTACGAACGGGTGGGGACGTGGGGACCACACCTACGAGCTACTACGGAGCTAGGTCGCCAGCGCTCTAGCTAGTATCATAGTAGCTAGGCAGCATAGAAGAAGTGAGTAAAGGATACTGGAGTACTGTGTCCGCAATAAGGGTTTCTACTCTTTACATTAAGTAGTTTCACTTTTTCAAGCAAACGTTTCACTATTTCAAAAAGTGAAACAGTAAAGAGTAAAAGGTAAATCTACCTCATCTGCCTTAAAAAAGGTAGACGATGTAGAAAGTAGATTTACCTTTTTCATTCTATTTTTTGGTCATTCCTTTAAGTAAAAATTGGTGAAAAGAAGTCATCCAAAGTGGACCGATTTAAAAAAAACTGTTATTGCGGACACACCCAGCCAAAATGGCAAACACAAAAGCGTAAAGAGTAAAGAGTGAACAGAAGAAATCCTTATTGCGGACACTGGCGACTGGAGTACATGCATGTGTGTGTGTGTACATGTACAGCATCTACGACATAAAGGTTTAGGATTCGTTGCACGATTGATTGATATTGTCAGGGGCAGATCCTTTATTCAATGCATTGTGTGTACAGTCATTGTTGTCACACTTCAAGACTCGTGTAAATTGCTCAGTCATTGTGTTCAAGCCAAGTTCAAATTATCAATATAAATGATGCAGGCTCTAGTAGAGAAGTCAACGGGTGTCTTGTGAGGGATAAAATCATTTATGAGCTGGATGAAACTTATTGCCCCGGCACCGAAACTTATTGCCCCGGCAAAGAATTACTTAAGTCCTCAGTTAAACCTTGGGGCCATGTTATGGTGAGGTGAGTTCGCCCCTCTTTGTGGTTCGATGTGCGAAACCTTTGACCATTGAGCATGCTATGGTCTTTTTTATCTATTGATGCTTCCGCTTGTTTACTTTCGCGGCCGCGCGGCTCTTTCCCTTCATCGATCGGGCTATCTCTTCGTCCGTGTGCTTTTCCCTTGCACAAGTTCGTTTCATTCTGTTATTATAAACTAAACTGCACCACTGAAGCCAAGTCCTTCCATTCAAGACGAAGCGACAGCTAGCATACAAACTTAATAGTAGGCCACCATGACAACCTTGTTTCAAGAAGTGACAAAGTCGCTCCAGACGACGATGCATTCCACCAGCTTTGTTCCATTGGATCAAAGTTGCGCCGACGACTCGATCATGACTTTAGAGGCAGATTCCTCGCATGCCGTAGATAGTAGACGACGTTCGAATGGCGCGGAATTCGAAGAGCAAGTCTCCAAGTGGCAAGGCGAACGGTCTCCAAGATGCAACTGGGCAAGTCGGCCAGCGCTAGAAAGTTGCTCGGACCGTCCGAAGACTCGTCGTCCTCCTTGGACGAAGATCCCATTGGCAGCAACAGCAATAGTAGTAGCAAAGACAGCAGCAGCAGCAGCAACAACAACAACAACAACAAGAGCATGCCGTTGAAGAGCAATGATCTCATGGGTAGTTCGACCAAAAAGTCGACGAGACGCGGAGGAAGACGCGCGACAGTGGCGGCGGCGACGACTCCGGAACGCAAAGGCAAAGGCATGGGAGGAATGCTCAAGGAAACGTGGGACAAGACTGTCGGCATGACGACACTGCTCAAGAGATCCGCCACCACCGATGACGCCACTGGTAACCACCAAAAGCAAGATGAAGACGAAGAAGAAGATCGTCCCACACTGGTACGCAACACCAAGACGGGCTCTCGACGAGACATTTTAAGGGCGCACAAGTCTCATTCCAGCAGCAACCTCAGTGGCAGTCTCCGAAACCTCAGTGGTCTCGTCAAGCAAACCGGAATCACGACGCTCGCAGAACAGATTCAAGAGGCCGACGCGGCGGAAGCAGCGTCTGTGTGCAAGGCACGACAAGAAAACATTCGGTTACGACGGAGTCGACGCGAAAGTATAACCGGGAATCGAAGACGGAGATCCTCCAGTGGGACTCGCATGCCCAAGAGTAACAGCACCGGTGGTACTTCATCATCACAACAACAGCATCATCATCAGGGACCTCCCAGCACGAGACGGGTCAGTACCAAGACTCTGCGACGAACTTCGTCGCACAATCCAAATGCCGGAGGTCCGGCCCTCAAGACGACCAAACAACCAAGTGGCAACAACAAGACCAAGCCTCTGCGACGTACCACATCGTACGGTACCATGAGCAAAAAGACGTTCAAGATTGACGAGTATGGTACTACTGCTGCGAACAGCAGTGATGACAAGCCCAAAGAAACCATGAAACGAGCCAACTCTCACAACGCCTTGTTGAAAAAGGCCAAGGAGCAACAGCAACAACCACAACAGCAACAAGGAGAGCTGGGAAACTCGAGCGGCAACAACAGCCATGCTCACTCGGCAGCCCCAGGAATGAGACGAACGACATCTCATGGTTCCACATTGAAAAAATTCTCCGGGGATACCATGGGCATTAGTGCGAGTGAGAATGCCAAATGGACATCGCGTCGCAGCAAGAAAACCATCAAGCGGGCGTCCAGCCAGAGGGGGTTGCTCGGGTCTTCTTCGGAACCGACTCAAGAGAGTACCAAGACCACCAAGGAAGGAGGTAATAGACGAAAGCACCACCACCACCACAAGTCGATTCGTCGCACCACCTCGAGAGATACTGTCGAATCCTCTGCCAAGGAAGACTCGGGTGGGAGTGTCTCGTCGGGGTCCTCACCCCGAAAGAATCATAGGCGTGCCAATAAGCGACCTACTGTGAAGAAGTCCAAGAGTCAATCGACGCTCGGATCGACCGGTGATGACGGCATTGTTGTTGGCACCAACGCCACCAACAACAGGAGGAAGAAGAAGGCTCCCACCATGAAAAAGGCCAAGAGTCAGTCTTCCTTGTTCCTCAAGGCAAAGGGACAACGACGCACGTCCCGGAACAAACACAAGGAACAGGATGACACACCAGTGTCTCCTCTGAGTGCGTTGATCAAGGATCGATCGCCTCTCGATTCACTCATTAATGACATTGCGGCATTGAAGGCGTCGGCCAACCGAGGCAACAAATCTCTCGAGTCCATCATTCGGGACTTGGCAGTGACACCCAAGGCCGCAGTATCTATCGACCGTGATACTACAGACGCAGCAGCCGAACTGTCGACACCCGACAAGTACAAGGCAACCTGCTGGGATAGTCTCATTGACAAGTTGAACAACAACAACAACAACAACACTCCGCAACAACAACAAGGACATGTTGTCAGCGATGTTCTTTCCACCATTCAGTCTGTGGCGTCCAACATGGAACTCAGTGTCGACGACGACATCAAGTCAGAAGCAACTTCGATAATGGAGGAAGGCAAAGTCGATGCGCTGCTTCAAGACAAGGAGTCTCTGAATGCACTGATTGATGGCATTGCCAAGTTGAAGGCAGGTGCCAACAAAAGGAGATCCTCCCTGAATTGCATCCTGGCTGATTTGGCACTCGGGGATTCACCCAAGACGAGCACTGCCGCCATTTCGTTGATGACAATGACGCCCAAGTCAACGGCGGCCGTGGTGGGCGGCGGGGTTTCACCGAATGAACTGATCGAGGACAGGACTACTAACGCGTTGGCTGGGCTGGGCGCGAAACAGAAGGTCTCACTGGCTGCTGAAATAGGATTCCTGGCTCCATTGACCGAATTGACGGAACATAGCAGGGACACTACGCCCAGCTCTGTTGTTGTCAAAGCACAACAAGACAAGGACCTGAACGTGAAGCAAGGTGAAATGGCGGAGAAGAATGTTGCATCATCAGAAGAAGCAAGTCCATTGTCAGAGAACGAACAAGGCCAAAAAGTTGAAATCATCTCGTTGGAGGATGTCATGGAAAAGGCGAGTTGTGATGATGATGATGATGATGAGGACCTTAAGAATGCTAGTTTTGTGTCGGAAGACAGCACGATTGCATCCATGGAAGCGGCTACTAGCCTGGACATGGAGGAAACAATCCATCAGGCAGTGGAAAACGCCCTTCACCAAGCCGGCACAGTACACACTCGCAACCTGGACAAGCCCCAAGGAGATGCAGCTGTCGCCCTAAATGACCTTCTGGATCACATTCGAAACGATGAGACCGACCCAATTAGTCGTAGCGCCACTCTCGCGGCTGTATCGGTGCTGACAAAGAGCAGCAATGTTGCCGTGGGAAGCTAAATCATGTGGGCTACTGCATTGGGAAGAATGTAAATAATCATGTAAAGAAACAAATTGTCTCGACTCCGACTGACTCGACTCTCTCGGCTGCATGGCCACTAGCTAGGCAGGAACGTCGGGGTCCGTGGGCTTCCCACGACCGTACCAGTACAGTGATGTCCACCTCGAAACCACCGCCCATTCAGCCACGCCTAGCTAGCGAGGACTGCCAACCAACAAGAATGGCGTCGGCACGAAGACGGAGACACCGAGTGCCTTCTACACGTTTGACCGTACGTTGGTACGCACAGCTTTGCTCTCGGAAGGATCGCCATACTGTACTGGTTGCAAGGAAGCAAGAGACATCTTTGATTTCGAGTCAAAGGATGGTTCATCGGATTGAATATAATGTTTATTACAGTGCACGTAAATAAGCATTCGTCATGAACACTGACGGTTGATCCTTCTCTACCACCGTCGTCTGCGTAAGGTATTGGATATTTCGTCTTGCTGCTCGTGCATGTAGTAGTCGTGAAGCTGCATTACACAACTCCTACCGGACTCTTTCTTGTTCAGTTCTTGATAGTTAGAAATGTTCATGGCCTTGAAACCATTCCTCTTGGCTCCTCCGCCAATGGCTGACCGAGCTACCCACTTGCCGCTCATGGATCGGCTGCCTTCTACAGTCACTGTCCTATTGCCATTGATTTTGCCATGATACAATCCCGCAGGTGGTTTGGAATAGAACTTGACATCTTGCTCCGACGATCGGGTGTCAATCCCCATGAAAAACAAAAATGCCCGTTTGGTGGCACCTGGACCCGTCTTGGCCGGGACGTAGAAGTTGCCCGTGTCTTCTAAGTTGTGCATTTCTGTGTAGTAGATTGTCATTGTTGAATGATGTGCATGTCGAAGCGACAAGGATCGCTGGTGAGAACAGGCAGACAAAGCAAGTCTTGAATCTACAAATCGTTTGCTCGCAGCTCACAAACTCACCTCTCATGACATCATGAACAGCAACTAGGTGGATTGACGAGAAGCATAGAAATCAAGCAATGAGTCTTGAGCAAGAAGCTTCATTCCAACCACATTTGCAAAAGAACAAAGATTGTACTCACGGAACATGACGGGGTGTTTGGGAGCCACGGCAAAGAAGTATTGGCTGACCCAGCCTCCCCTCTCTTGTAAAAAGAAAGCGTCCGTATCGTTTGTGATGGTCGTCTCATTGAAGTATTCACCTGGTAGATTGTCCATATCTGGTGACCAACAGAAGCGAGGAGAGAAAGAAGAGATGCAGGCTTAGTTTTGCATTGTAGAGCAACACAAAGCAATCTTTCTCGGGCTTGACGACCTACCCGTGTAGATTCCACCATATTCCCACAGGGCTAGATACCTCCACAAATCAGCCTTGGCAGCTGAGCAACAATGAAAAACGACAAGTATTGAAAGCGATTAGCATGATCGCCCGTGCTTCAAACCATCTGTTGCATTTTTCGAGAGGGACTTACCTCCCCCCGCATTCTTGAGACACTCAAGGGTGTTCTTTAACTGTGGAAACATGGGCCAATCTCGGTTGAACAATTCGTCCACTGCCTGATCATCGTGAAAGTAAAAGGAATGTCCCGGAAAGGACCATTTCAGGCAGGCATCGTAAAAGGGCGGTGTCAGACAGGGACTCTTGCCCGTCATGTGTACAATCTTGGGAATCTTGCGGCCTTCCGCCTTGTCGGCTGTCGGGTTTACGACAATCGGCGCTGGTTGGAATCCTTCAGGGCACGTTTTGGGGATTTTGGGCGGAATCAGCTTGTACAATGGGACGAAGCCATTGTCCCGACGTTCTGCTCGTTGTAAGTTTTGCAAGTTGCGATTGTGGTTTTGAGTTGCTTCGTCTTTGAGTATCCCCATTTCATCAATGAGTGTTAGATCCAAGTTTTCATGGGCATAGTCCTCTTGCACCGCGGAAGCAAACACAAACGCCTCGTTCAAGTTTCTGGTTTGCTTGACAAAAGTAGTTTCGCTGATGAAGTTCAGCACGGAGAATATGCCAAGAACGTAGGTCGCGACGACCCAGGCCTTGGGCTTCATGGATTGGTTGCCATTGGTTGGGATGTTGGCACTGCCGCGCTTGAGTTCGTCGATTGAGGAGGAACTTCTACTGATGGTACTGCTGATGGGTATTTGCAAAGAAGTCGCGGACGCGTTCAAGTGGGACAGAGAATCGTTGCCATGGTTGTACGGAGACGTGGAGGGCGGCATCTTGCTGAGGATGGATTCAGGATATTGCAGTTTGTGTTTGAAAACTTTGCTGGCTAGCTAGCTAGCGAGCTATTGATAATAGAGTGGACATATCTTGAGCAACGCCGATTCCAAGGAAACTTTGAAAGATCTGGCAAGAAATGCTGAGTTCGAAAACATGCCAGGTCCTTCGCAAAAAGGTATCTACCCATAGGGTTAAGGATTAAGAAACCGGAGAGCTGGATCTTTCCCTTATTTTCAAGCTCTTTTCAAAAGAAATCCAGTCCAAAACTCCAAAACCACGTAAAGGAGCAGGACTGCACATGCAATGGGCCAAAGCAGTGTGGGACTACCGTGCCAGGGCAAACCATGGCGGGCCCCGTGCTCCTAGTGCTGTGGTTAGCCATGGTCAGAAATCCACTGTGGGTGCCCAGTGCTTGGCTAGCTTTTGTTGGAAATCCAGTGCAGGGGCCACCAGTTGTGGGCAGTCGAGCCAGCAAAGGGGCTAAGCCTTGCGGGACTGTCACTCTGGTGCTAGGGCAGCCACGAGGCCACGCACAACTAAATCGTTCCCCTATTTTCGAGGTCTTTTTTACAGCTTGCACCATACAATGTCCATCGTGCTGCCGTCCAAAGCTGCCGGCACAACTCTGCAATAGTAAGCAGCCACGCACTACTTCCTCTTCCTTGGATTCTCCTCGGTAGTAGTACCATTCAACAATCATAAGTCTGGAGGAATCCATGGACCAAACATACTTTCTGCTCTTACAACTTTCGGGGGCGCACCGATATCGAGGTGCGTAGCCAACCCCAGAAACAGAAGCGTTGCCCTTGTCAGCACGTGGGATTTGGGACGCAACCTGAAGGTCTAGCCACTGTTCCCGTGGCGCCCACAAACTCCTGTGATTCGCAATGTCAATGTTCATCCTCTCCCAATCGGGCTGTTCTGCAATAGAGAAGTGCTCTGTCAAACCCGCAAAAGATCCTTGCCCTTCGCGGACGATGAAACCAGACTCAACGACTTGGAGCTTTGATATGTTGATTGCAGAAAAGAAGGTAGTGCTGTTCGGAAGTGAGAGGTTGAAGCCACACGAAAAGTGCAGCTTCGTGACTTCCAAGGAGGGGAACGAAGATGCTTCGATGGCCCGTATGGAACTCGCTTCATTGAAACAAAAGTCAAAGACCAGTACCAGCCGTTCCAAATGCATTGCTGGGGAATGAGATCAACCAAGCAGTCAACGGAAACCAGATTTTCGAAGCCAGAAAACAAAAGTTCCAAGTGAGTCAGATTTCTCTGTTGCCAGAGCCCATTCCCGAACGCTTGCAGAGATGTCACCATCGACGTTTCAGTTCGAGCTTTGGAAATCACAAATGTTACAACGACTGGAGTTATCTTTTTGACTATCATTCCTGCTTATGTTCCCCCCACCCCCTTCTCTCTCAGCATTTAAACTCCAAGGCATCCAAGGCTTCTGCCACTTTCACGGGATCGTTGCACTTGCTGTACAAAATGGCACATCGTTTCCCGTGCGCGGGTTGCAACCACGCGGCCAAATCGCTAAATCCCGAGCGACTTTCGACGAGACAGGTCGATTCCAGCAAGACATTGAATTCTCCCCATACCGTGTTCTCGTCTCCGTGACCTCCCTTGCGAGATCGATCAATGTGATAAATGGGCATTTGTTCCAAGACCCGAATGGTTTGACTCGACTGCTGTTGATCGAGCGCGACCAAGGCTTGCTTGGCGATTACATTGTCGGCGGCGACGTAAATGGGAAGGGGTGGGAGTGGTCTTTGATAATCATAGTCGTAGGTGGTGGTAGTATTGCCGCTAGTATTTTTGTCGTTGTTGTTGTTGTTGTCAAGACACTGCTGTCGTTGCCGTTGATAAATTCCATCTTGCAATCGTTTGGCACAGTGATAGAATTGTTCAAAGTCTTGCCCGGTATTGTGTCGCGCCGGATCATTCCATGAGTTTCCTCCATTACCGGTTCGAATGTGTACGGCAATGTAGGGTTGGAGGGTTGTTTTCCCGGCCATGGCGGTTTCCTTTTGCAATCGTTGGAGTTGTGATTTTCGTTTTTCCTGTTCTGCCAGTTGATGTTGAATCATGGCCTTTTGTTTGCGTGCAGTTTCCTTGGCATAATGAGTCCGTACGGCCTGGTTGATTTTCAATTGGAGGGGATCTTGTTGCAATCGTCGTCTAGTTGGTTGTTGTTGCATTGCTTCTTCTCGTTCTTGTCGTTTCAATTGCTGTTCGAGTAACAATCCCGTTCTCATTTGCATATTGAGTTTTCGTTCGTGTACTTGATCGGCAAATGTAAAGAGTGCCCAGAATCCCATGCGAAAGAGTACCTTTTGTTGTGGTGCAAATGGATTGGGTACGGGTTCTTTGGTCCACAATTGTTTTTGGACGCATTTCGTGTCATTGACCAACACAACGGCATTGACGTGTTCACTCCATAGATTGGAGCGCATATCAATCATGGGAATGTCTGCCAAACGGGCGGGTATTTGTAATTGTTGAAAAAAGGGGTGGGAGTAACTGTCCACGGCACTGTATTTGACCAATGTTTGCATATATGCCTTGATGGAATTGGGGATGGTCCAATCAATGGTGTGGGGTTGTAGAAATTGGGAGACGTCGCCTCCTCCCGCTACGGGCCAATCAATGAGGAGGACGCGATTGGTACAAATGGCAGTGTAAAGGGCGGACAGAATGCCCTTGATGCGATCTCCGTCCTGTACCACCGCAATTACCGTTCGGAGGACATCTCCAAATGAGATATTTGGCGGCGGGATGTCCACGATTTTGATTGTGGAATTTTATGTAGTCTTGAAGGAATTGTGGAAAGACCGAGGCAGTGGGTGGCAGAGTGGAATCTGGTTGGTTTTTCGATTCCCAACTGGCAGCGGGAATGTCATCGCCATCACCCGTGTCTACTGCAGTGAGTTCATTTTGTTGTTGTTGATCTGCTTGTTTTGCTGTGGTGGTGGAAGATTTGTAGGCTCTTGTTGGACTGGATTCTCTTGATCTGTTTCCATTGCTTGTTGTTCGATTGCTGGCTGTTGTTGTGGCTGTGTATCTGTATCTAGGACTCTGGCCACATCCTTATTTTGGACATCTTCGGTACCAGCAATTATTCTTGAGGTAGTATCTATAGTGATGGCGATGGCGCTACTATTGGTGGGCTGATTATTGACCACAGTCTCCTGTTCGGTAAACGGTTGGAGAGCCAAGGGCATTTGTCGTAGGACCACCATGCCTGTCAAGAACCCCACGAAAAAACTCCGTATTCGTCTTGCGGAACCCAATCGATATCATCTTCATCATCACTCTCCAAATCAAAACAAAACAACAAAGAATAGCAGCGGCTCGAATAAGGATGAGTTCCTTGATGTCTCCCGTTTTCAGATCTTCTTCAATAATTCTGGAGCTCCTTTTTCTTTGCATTCATTCAATCAGTCAGTCAATCAATCAAGCAGAAAGACAGACATACATACACCATTTGGCATACACTCGTTCACAAGTAACCAGCATAGGACCTCTAGCTAGCTCTAGTAGATAGATAGATGGATAGACATGCAGATACTGTGGTACCGCCAACAACCCGTGGTGCTGGGGTCTGGTCCTTTTGAGTGTGAGTCGCAGGAGGGAGTGAACACAAAGATGCTGCTTTTCACCATCTGTGTCTGGCAGTTGGACTTTTAAAAAGGTCAAATATTTGGACTTAGAGGTCAACAGTTGGACAAAACGGTCCAATGGTCCAATAGTAGGAAAATAGGTCAAATAAATCCTTCCGCACTCTTCAGTTTCCTTGGCTTGGACAATTGCTAGATCGGAGTCGAGTCCATCGTTTAGAAACTCTGCAAAGCAACCACGGCGTCCTCAACAGTGCTCCTCCCGTTCTTGCCCTGGCTGAACATGCTCCTCATGCAGGGTGCTACCTTAGTGTTTCTTCTGCATTCCTGTTGCCATACTGATAGCAATCGATGGTCAATGCTCAACTCCACGTCGTGATCACAACAAGAAGAAGATGAAAAGAAGGAACACGGCTGTTCATTGTAGGCGGAGGGTGGGCTGGATTTAGTAGTGCTGCCGATGTCTTGGCCCGTACTTCCGAGGATCTGAAGATTGTTTTGTTGGATGCTGCTCCTCGTGGCAAGGGAGGTCGCGCCGGTGGATGGAGGACGCCGCAGGGACGCCCGGTCAAAGTGGGCATTCACTGTTTTTGGAGAGAATCCACCAATCATACATTTGCCGTCACTAATCACCCCGTGGTTCGCCGCAAGCTCCTGATCATTGCAGCTACTTATTGTCGACCCCAAATCCCCACAAAGACAACCATCATGAGTGGAAAGAACTTTGTTCTCGAAATCTTTACCTCAAAAGATTGCATTTTGCATGGAAGGGCAGATTGAAGTCGTTCGGGGCTCTTGGTGGTCGGGGGGTGGGAGGGGGGGGTGATTTTGCTATAGTTCCGTTTTGTTCCGCTGCGTATTTGAGAGAGACATTTTTAGATTGTGAATATCCATGTAATCAATGTACTCAGCCAATCCTGCCTTTGAACCTTGCCCCACAAGTCCCCCACCCTATCGGATCTATCCACTCCCACTTGGAAAGAACTCCAAAGAGAGACTGAAAAGTCGTTGACGTGCAACTCCAGCTTGAGGATATTCTGTGAATCTGCGTTGAAAACCTTGTGGATGGACTGGAGACCGATCAAGTTGTCTGGATGAATCGAATCGCTTCACAAGCCTTGACAAACAAGTGGAGACACCGGTTTTTTAATGATACCATCGTTTGATATCCCTTCCATGAATGGCCGAGTTAGCTCACAATCGAAGTTGAGTTTTGCCTTGTCCGTACTTCAACACATCCAGTTCCACCAGGATAGTAATCGTGAGAGGCCTGCACGATAAGTATAAAATAGCCAAGGATTAGTCGGTAATCCCCCTTCGCGGTGTTGTTGCACGGAAGATACAAACCTAATTATAGAACTAGCTAATCCCTCCGGGGACTTTGTAATTCCTAAGTTGCTTAAGATACAAACTCAATTTTCCAAGCACGGCTGTGTACTCAAAACCCGATGCAGGAGGGTCGCCATTATCCAAAGGAAAGGCATATTTTGCTCTTGAATCACTTAAATTCTCAGCTGGTGGATCCATAGTATGATGTACCGGAATACCAGTTCGTTGATGCAGAAACCGAGTAGTGAGAACCTATCACGGATTTCGCCTTTACCATTTCTTTCTATCCACAGAAGCTCAGCTGATTCGCTGGTTGTCCAAAAGGGAAGGCCGTTGGGCAATACAACGCAACCATGGTGAATCCTTGCCAAGCAAAATGATTGAGCGCCGCTTCAGACTCGATCCACAACCGGAGACAGTTGGTGTGAAAGACATTCATTCATGCGTAGAATATCTTCAGAATCTCGTAGACGGGGTAAATAAGTGAAAAATCCCGAATTACTAAGAACTCTGCACTCTGCATACATACACTGTACCTACCGAATTAAATTTTGTTCTGTATCCTGCATCCACGCTGGGCCACCTTGGCACCAAACTCTGTTTAGAAACATATTGGGTCTGTCAGTGCTCGTAGGAATTATTGAAATGTCTCTTACTCTTGAGAAGATTTATGACATACAGTACGACAATCTAGACAATGAGACAAAGTGCGAGACTGCATACGAAACATTTCACCAATTTGGGATACAGTGATACAGTGATAATTAAAAATAAGAGATAATCTTAGAAGACACAATCAGACATTATTGTACATAAGTAATCCAGCATTTTGCACTATTAAAAGCCATTGATAGGCATTATGAGACAAATTAGAAACATAAGCCGCTCCCTACACAGGATCATTTACAGACAACAGCCCGTAAAAGACAAAATGCCGAGGTCGGGTGGTAACGCGGTAACCCAAGCCAGCGGTCATCGAGATGACCCAAACTAAGAAGAACCATCAAGTAAACTTACTACTACTAGAAGTTAGAAAGGCACCAGTTTACCTGGCTCTTCACTTCACCAATCGGACGACCAGATCAAGCCAAGCAAGAGACCTTCCAAAGCACAAAATAGCTCAACGACGTCCTCACTGCACGATCACCATGCCAAGTAAAACGGAAGTGGCCATTTCTGTGGGTCTCCTGATGGCGATGCTGGGGTTACTGTGGGAGTTTTCCTCGTTGCGCCAGTATCGTCAGTCGCCTCACAATACTCAACGCAGTACTCGCACGGACTTGATGTACAGCAACACGACCGCAGTGATTCTGCAGACCTTCCGGTCCGAGCTCGAAGATGCAAAGCAGGAACTTTTGGAAGCTAAATCTCGATTGAACAAGCAAGAAAAATCTATGCAAAAGCTTAGTAAACTCAAGGAAGAAATCCAGAATAATGCCTCTTCCAAGCAGCGTGACTTGGAGAACCAAGTGGCCAAGTTGGAACAGCAGATGGGCAAACTATTGGAGACTAATAAGAAAGGAATGGTGCCTGCACAACAGCAACCACAGCAAAACTCAGAGGCGTACAACCACAATCAGCAACAACAACAACGACAAAGAGCAACAGAAACAGAGGACGGCCAGCAGGTCACCAAGAAGGAGAAAAGACCAATGAGAATTGGTGGCTGGCTGATCGGTTCCTTTGCTTCCTTGGCGATTAGGAATCCATCAGCAGAAATGTAATCCTCCAGATGGTGTTCCGGAGATTTGCTGCGCCAGAAGTACCACCAAGGGATCCGGACAACCAGTGGCCTTTCGACCAAACCTGTGCACTACCGATACCAAGCGATACGAAAATGTGGCAGAGAAAACCCTTGAATATCTTCAAGAACATCCTGTGGATGGTATGGGGTGTGATGTGTGCCGTATCATCCAAGTCATGCAGGAACAGAATTGGAAAACATTGGTCGTGGCCGGAGATTCCATGACAAGGCAAACCTTTGCCGGGTTCCAATGTGAACTCTTGAGGAGGGGCTATGAGATGAAGACAAAGGTAGAAGGGGACTTGGCGGATCCCCGTAAAGGGCTTCGATATGGGATTCGCCAGAGAAAAACGCTCACCCTCACCAAAATACCAGGATCATCAAAATCATCCAAAATGGTTGATATCAAGATTATCTTTTACATCATGTATTGGCCAACCGCAGGAAGCATTGATCAGTTCATTCTTGGTCCTGGAACGGATGTGTACATCTTTGATCACTCCCTTTGGTACAGACATTGGGAAATGCCAAAGTTTCTGGAAGGCATGACAGCCCTGCTGAAGCAACTCACAACTGCCAGCATGCCACCCAAAATGATCATGTGGAGGGAGCAGTCCGCCCAGCATTTCAATCGTCCGGGAGGCTCCTATTCCCCGAAAGGACCTGAGATGGTCCCTGGGGTAGACGGTTGTGTCCCAATTCACGACTACACAGCAAAGTACCAACATGTTCAAGTTATGAAAAATGCAACAGAGCGAGCGGGCATGAACTTTGTGGACCCACACCAGCAGCAACTTGAGCAGCCACCAGCAACAGGACCATCATCGTTGTCGTTGTCCAACTCCAAAAATCTCTACTTTATTCCTTTTCGAGATTTTTCATCACAGTTTCATGACATTCATCGAGACGGAGAGTGTACTCATTATTGTTCGACACCCGATCTTTGGTTGCCCATTTCTAGAGGAATACGGATCCATATGGATAACTACAATCACTTGCAGGGGCAGAATGCTGCCAGTGATGTTCGAAGCTAGCTAGTCCACTGCTGGAGTACTTTTAAAAATTGTGCCAATTCTTAGAACTTTCCTTGTGTAAACTTGCCTTGTTGAAACTACACTCAAGCTTAATCACAAAAATCCCTTTCACTTACATGACCTCAATTCAGACAGCCAAGGTAGAGCCACGGTACCCTGGGTACCATACCTGTACCGGTAACAGACACCGTTACTGGCTGATGGCAGCTGCATCGAAGCGGTTTTTCAACAAGGCAAGCTGAGAATCACATTCCTCTGCAAATTTGGTTTCACTTCGGTCTCTCAAACACTGCTCCCGAACACTTCTCCTGAACACTTCCCCCGAACACTTTTAGTGTTGTATTAGTATTCCCTCTGAATTATCAGTGGACAGTCTTTTAGTATTTTGCAGAAAATTTTCGTTGACGATTAAATTTTTGTACCTGCGCACCGCACCGCACCCTAGCGCACCGCACCGTACGAATTAAAAGCTTCAGAGATGCAGCATTCAAGGAATGCGATATAAAAATAATCCGTGGTACCGATGCCTACCCTACCCTGAACCCTGAACCCTACTGATTAATGCTACACGTCACAATGCCACCGCGCTCACGCATGACCACCACCTCACCACTTTTTCTCTGAATTTGCGCCCTTTGTCCACCTCCTCCGTCTCCTTGACCTTCTAAAAGCACGCTACGCTACCACAGCAATTGTTTTGTCATAGTCTAGTTTCGTCTGAAGCATGAAGGTCTCTTCTGGTGCAACGGCATTCCTGCTCGTCGCTTTGGCGCAGCTGTGCTTGGGTTTTGTTTCGAAAGGTAAGCTGATTATATCTCTGATTCCTCCTGCAAAGTCGACTACCGTAGACCAAGTATCGTCTACGTTTTCCAACGTTTTTCTCATGGTTGGCACTTCCTTTTAAAATTAATAATTCATATAGCAACACCCAGCCCAGTATGTGCGAGTAGAAATCGATGCAGTTCCCTTTCAGTCGCTTCGACGCCACTGGAGCTGCAAGAAAAGTTTGCCAAAATCAAGCCAGCGCTGCCCGCTGATTTGGACGTGGTTTCGGCTGGAGGATGGTACAATCTGCAAAAGACGTACGCGCAAGAAAGCCCCAAAGACGCACTGGTTCAACTCATTGTGGAGGGACTGGTGGATGGAAACAAAAAGGTGGAATTTGCCGCAAAAGAGGAACGACTGAATGCCTTGTTGATTTTGCTCTATGCCATGGGAAAGGGGTTCGAAGCCGACGTTGTAAATGGCGAATGGTCCTTGGTCTTTAGCAAACAGGGCAAAAAATCACCCAGAATACAAAAAGCCGTTGGCAAAAAGGAACGGGCCGGGCAATCTTCGGTCGTGTACGATATCCAAAGCATGACCTTTTCCGGTGGTGCCACCATTTTGAAAAAGGGCAAGGTGGCGTCCACGGTAAAGTACAATCCACTTTCGCAGGGATACTCCAAAACAGTCGACCACAAGATTGTGATTCGTCGCATTGGGTGTGACATCATTGGTGCATCCTGGAAGTTTTGGTTTCTGCCCAAGATTCCTCTACCGCTTCGTGCCAAGGGTGGATACCTGGAGTTTATTTACATGGATTCCGATATTCAAATCACCAAGGGAAATCGCGGTGGACTGGCAATTCACTTTCGCCCCGAGTACCTGGAAAAGAAGTTGGCAGCGTATTCTGCATAACAGTCAGGAAATACTAGCAATCTACCGATCGAGCTGTCTCGTTGCTATAGTTGGAACAAACGAGATGACGACAATACTTACTTGACTTGCAGACTTGCTTGATCTCTCCGTACCGGAGTGGGACAGTGGATTCTTGTCAGGCGTGTCCATGCGAAAACAGGTCCAGTTTCCCCTTGCTATTACTGTAGCAGCAGTTGGTTTTAGGCTGGGAATAATGTACCATAAAACAAGCGTCTGCATGAGTCTACAGCTCGAGGAAGAGGAACGAGACAACGTAGCTGTGGCTGATCGCGTGCGTGTGTACAGCATGGCCTAATTTTCTCTCAGTCGATGACTTGTTACCTCTTGAGACTACCGCTACGATGCTACTTTAAAAGGGAGCTCAAAGCAAAATCTTTCGTCCATGAATCAATAGTTTAATATGTAATACGTGAAGTTGTCGAAGCAGTTGATTCAAAGTATGAAACCCAAGGAAACCATGCAACGTGGAAGCCCCCCACCGTTACAAAGACTTGGATTCATGTACCAGAAGAAGCAATACCTGAATGCCCAACATCCCTGAGCCAATATCCCAAACACCACATTTTTGCCCAAAGAGTTGAAGCCCTGGTAAGCTGTAGAGCAGCAACCACAGGGTGTTAGAAAAGAGACCGAATGCGGAAGCAGGCTGCTTCTGCGCAAATTGCTTACCACGGCATCTTCTAGTACCGGTAGGAGGTATCTAGGGATCAAATGTCATGTTGAAGAAGAAACCACCAGACGACTCTTCTCCCGGGCAGGCCTCGCAAGAACAGCCACAGAGTAGAGAAGTCCTACAGTCAAAGTCTTCAACTTCAACATTAGTACAGGTCGGCAGGGTAACTCGAAACTTGGTTTCACAACTGAACCAAACATCCACCAAACTGTCACAGATCCCAGCTGGGATAGAGCCAGTGAGAAAAGTATCGGAGAGGGTAATGATGTTGAGATCGGGCAAAGATTCAAGCTCAGATGGAACGTTGCCACCAACATATGTCTCGTGGAAGAACGCCTCCTTCAGAGCTGTTAGATTTCCTATCTCAGTTGGAAGTGTTCCTGTGAATATGTTGTGGTCAAGGTGAAGTTTTTGCATGCTTTGCAGAAGACCAACTTCTGTGGGGATGGTCCCACTGATTTGATTTTCAGAAAAAGCAAGGGTCCTTAGACTGGTCAGGTTCTGCCAGCCATTAGATGGCAAGGTGCCTGTGAAGTGGTTTCCATCAAACAGTAAAATTTCAAGCCCAGGGAAGCCCAAGAAGAAATCTGGGAGGGATCCTGTCAATTGGTTGTCATCAATGTCCAACCGCCTCAATATGCTCAAATTAGCCAGTTCTGATGGGACCGTCCCTGTGAGTCCTGTATCCCAAAGGAGAAGATGCTGAAGTTTGGTGGCCAAGCCAAGCTCTGAGGGGATTGGAGTATTGTGGAAAGGAAGGTTGTGGGCATAGAATGCTTCCAAATCTGTCATTTGCCACACACCATCCATAGTAGCTTCAGTGATACCAAGCAAACCATGAACAAGAAGCACTTGCATCTTGGGGAGTGTGTAGAGCTCAGAAGGAAATGTCCCAGTAAATCCTGCTCTGTTTAGATTGATCTTCTTGAGTTCACGCATATTGGCAATTTCGGTAGGGATGGTCGATGGAAAAGGGTTGTAGCCCAGATACAACTCAACCATGCTAGTCATCAAGCCGATCTCTGTTGGAACAGTCCCACCAAGGTAGTTTCGATCAGCTGGAAGCAGAAGAAGAGATATCATCTGGTGAGAAATCTTTGAAATCATGGAAAGGGTGGCTGCAACAATAACCGAGAGCAGGGGACTTACCAGACAGTCTCAACAGGTTCGTGAGCAGTCCAATCTCAGAAGGGATGGTGCTGCCTTCTAGTCCATAATTCTTTTCAAAGTCAAAGATTAGTAGCTCGGATAACATGCCAATCTCTCGTGGCACTGACCCAGTCAAGTCTTTGCCACCCATGAGTAGATATTGATATCGCCCAGCATCATCGCAGGGAGAGGTCACATTGATTTTGTCATCCCTCGTTGTGGGGTCCACACCAGCTGTTTCAGTCAGAAAGAACCAGTGCTTGCATTCATCCAAGGTATGATTCAGCCAATTGTCATTGATAGCCCAGTTGGTACCTCCAGTGGAATAGTAGAAGGTTGCAAGAGCAAACCGCTGCAGGATTCTCCAGTCAGGGTAGGTTTCAAAATTGGGATCATCCATGAGCCAAGCATAAGCTCTGGCTTGGGGGGAGATCGAGTCATTCACGATTTTCTCCACTGAGTAGTCAGGGAATCCCAAGGTGGCTGCAAAAGAAGTAGGGGCCGCTGATGGCACAACTGTTGGAGCGGTTGTTGGCACGACATCAGCAGCATCCTTGTCTTGGTTGCCGGCCAGGCCCAGGACGAGACCAAGTACAACAATGCCAACAACAGCAATCAAAAGAATGATTTTCAATGCCTCCTTGCTATCCGTCTTGTTTTCAACGGTGAGGTTTCCACTGGATAGACGCAATTCACCTTCTTGCACGGGGTCCGCACTTTGTATGTTTGCTTCCTCATCTGTGTTGACAAGGCGTGCGGATGGCATGGTTGCGGACGTTCGTAGCTCCATCCTGTCATTGGCCACTGCTTGCTCAGGCTGGTTGGTACCGGTAGCTGTGTGGGTGCTCTGCGCCGTTTCGAGAGAATCATCCGCCGTAAAATTTGTGTCAACAATTGGAGGTGCAGTGGTCTCAGTCGAACGACTACCGGCAACAGCCACAGCTCCGGGTCTGGAGGAAGGGCGACTATGGATGTCGCGTTGTAAGTTGAGCGTGGGGGGACCACCAGTAGCGGGGGAGACGGAGCTCTCCTGGTTTCCACGTAGATGGTCATCCTTGTTTTTGTTCTCCTCAGAGACTGTGTATCCTTTGGCAACCTTTGTTAGGCCATGTTGATCGGTTGAGATGTCCTTGAACAAGCCTGATTTGGCTTTGGCTTTGGCAATCTCAAGGTCCTTTGGTTCTTCTTCTTTCAGATGGCTACTATCCCCATCTGGAACGAGTTCTCGCGAGGAAACGGCTGCACCAACACTGATCTTGGCAGCCTCCTTTTCGGCTAGCAAGTTAAGACCGGAAGCGGCCGTAGTCGTACTCGCTGTTGCAGCAGGACCACCATTCTTAGCCAGTTGTTTGGCAATGGCATCCAGGAGATCCAATTCTGTTTCGTTGGTCTCATTACTCATCGCAGGCTAGTTCCGTCAATTCTTCTTGTTCACAGTTGGTTGTTCACAGAGGGTTGTAAGATTACAATGCCGTCACCTCCTAGGCCTAGCTAGCAATCGATAAATAATGAGGAGCAAGTTGGACTTGTTTTGGGTGGTGGAAACTGCCAGCAGCTTTTAAAAGAAGCCTTCAACCTTGAGAGTCTATTAATAGCTAGAGTACGACACCGTACAGTACGTAGACTATGTTGACCCTGCAGTCCCGCTCAATGATGCTGTAGATTAGACTCTACTAGGTGCTGTCTCGCCGATTGGAAGAAGCTTGAAAACTTGCATCTGCCAGTTTGTTTTGAGTCACAAGGAGCCGTTCATACGCACTTCCAATGCCACGGCCTTTGCATGGCGACCGCAGAACATGCGACAAACAGATGCATCTTTAAACCCACTGTGGGGACAATCAGTGGCACGCACAGTAGGGTACTAGCTAGCTAGCTAGTAGGATTTCATTATTACAGCGACTTTGCCAATTTACAGCACTTCACTAGCTGGTATAATAGTAAAGTACAGCTACTTTACCACTTTACATGTACCTAGCTAGCTAGTGCCATCTGAACCCCCCATTGTGCAGCAGTGCAAAATCCTCTGAGAGGGGTACAGTACCCCCCTTCCCTACAGGTGTCAAGTGCAAGCAGTATTTTGCACTTCACCAAACGTAGTGTCCCCCCCCCAATACAAATCCTGCAGAGCCTAAATAATCCATTGTGAGCTTAGCTTGGAATATTGAATCTTGGTTCAGGATTAGCTTGGAGCTGCTATTAGAAACCATAATCTCATGGTCAGCTTTATACTTTGGCAAGGCAGGAAGTTTCCATCAGGAGAAAGCAACCAACTACAAGCAACTTGAATTGGAGGATGACCCAGCCAGAGACCAAGAGCTTCTCAAGGCTGTCGATAGGTATGGTTATACAGTGGTTTTTTTTTGCAACAAGCTATGAAAATACTACACGTATAGTCGAGAAGCTACACCTTCACTTTCCGGTCCATAGTCTAGCTAGCTAGGTAAGTGTATGTAGAGCAAGCAGCAACATCCAATGGCCAAGGGGGGGTACCTACTAGCAAGAGAGGTACCCTGTACCACCACTAGTACTGCTTCTGTACTACTAAGGCTTATTGATTGCTTCACTTATATCTATTTAGAAGGTGAACAACTCCATGGGTGTGGTGTCGTGGCGACCACTGAGACAGTTCTTCTCCGGTGAGACGAGAACTGGCAACTGGCAGCCGCCGGTTTGGTTTGGCTACGGTACTGTACCTTTTGATAAGGTTCAGGACTATTTTCGTTGCTTGTTTTTCTCACAGTAAGGTTCAAGCTTAGTTAGGGTTACGGTGAATGCAGGGCGGAACTGCTCTACAAGGCTAAAAAAATAGAATAAGATACCTCCAGTCATGAAGAAAGTGAATGATCTTTGGGACGCCCCGCCAAAATAGAGACAGGAAGGACCGAATGAAAGCCGATGATGATTGGACCATGGCCGACGGCAAACGCCTTTTGACACACATTTTGCCTCTCTCAAGTTTGTTTGCGTTGCGTTGCGTTGCGTTGCATAGCATTGCACTTTTATTCCAAGAGGGACGCCACCATCTATATGCATAGCTAGCCAGGTGTGGCAGCATAGCAGGAGCGGACAATCAAGAGACGGCGGTTCTCGTGGGTTGTCCCTAGCCTGACTGTTTGTTGAGTCTTGCCGTGTTCAAGTCAAGTCGAGTCCATTCAGCGTTGCCGCTGGTGCCGTTCCGGGTTGATTGGTCATTGGCAAGGCAACAAGACGAACCATAACGGTCTGATCTGATCTGATCTGATCTGATCTGTCTGATCTGATTTGGTCTGATCTGATTTGGTCTGATTGATTGTGGTGGACACGAAAACGACCACGATTTGATTTCAATTGCTTGATTGGACTCTAGTCAAGAACAAGTCAGTACCTTTGGGTTGCATTGCATGGTTCTATTATTGCTGGCAGCTTATCAATACTATCAACGACAACAACAACAACAAGCGGAAGGAAGAGAGAGTCCCTCTCTGCTGAGCCTGGAACAGTTCAAGGAGACTTTTGGAGACCGATTGGCGGGCGTGGAGACTATTGTGCAAAGCACGTATTCACGCTGTCAATCTGAGCCCATTCCCTTATTCCAGCCATCTAGTCAAGCATACGACTATTACTGTATAGACGACGACGACAACAACAGTCTCATTCCCATGATGGACACCAGTCATCATTCCTCGGCATCTTCGAGTACGTCATCCAAACGACGTGTGCGACCACGAGAAGCATCCAACTTGAGTTCTTCCGAACATGGAACCGCTGTATCCACAGCTACCACTGCCATTGCCATCAACTCCAATCTACTACGATCAACACCACGAACGTTTGTACAAGATGACATTCGACAAGCATATATTGACGCCGTCTTTGGACCCGCTTTTTTTGCCACGAGAGCATACCAACCACCCCGACAAGGCATGGGATTGGCACAAATACCAGAATATGTCACTTACACGGCATCCATTCCACCACCACCCGTTCCCTTTGGAGGAGCCAAAC